GTTCGCCCTCGAACCCCTTCCCCTCCTTCCCGTCTCCGACGAGGATCACGGCAGCACACAGGACCGGTCAATGTCTGACAAGCTTCGCCCAATGCTGCACAGCTGACGGCAGAAACGGGACGGACGGGAGCCGAAAAGCAACGGCAAAGCTGTCTGGAGTGAGGGGTTCGGAGCAGTCGATGAGCGCTCCCAGAGGTCGTTCGGAATGGAGGGAAGAGGCAATGGAGAAGCTTCGGCATTGGGAAGCTTGGAGCTTGGGCCATGGACCGTATCTGGCGTCTCTGGCGTGTCGAGGCGCCCCTCATCCATGTTTCGTACCATGTACGTCTCGGAAGCTTTGTTGTGGTTCTCACGACAGGCGCCCAGGCACCTCCACCAGTGACGATTGCAGCTAGGGCGATGAAGCGCAAACCCTGGCCGTAGGGACCCTTGTGGCAGGCGTCTTTCTCTCTGTCTGCCTCCCGCTCACCTCCCCACCATCCCGAGATACCGCTGGATGCCGTTCGAGGAATGAGAGGAGGGAGGGTGGTGCTTCTGGAAGGGGGTCGCACGAGCGAGATGGAGGAGCATTGACGCATAAGCGACAGCATGCCACCCCCTCGCCCCTCAGCCAGAGCTTTCGATCGGCTTGGGATCGCTACGTAACGCCATGGCTCGGAAGAGACGTGGCACACCAATGAGGAGGTCCAAGGGGCTGTGCTCGGTCTGCTTGGTGCGCTGGATGAGGGGTAACAGGCGATGAAGAGAGACGGGTTGAGATGCCATTCTGTATCGCCAAAAGCCTGCAGCCCATTCACCATTCACCGCTGGCCATATTCAGCGTCACCTGGTAGCATGTCGCCTGGCTGATGGTTCGTGGCTCATGGCTGATAGCTGATGGCTAATACTTTCTGTCTGACTTGAGACACTCGCAGAAGTGGTGGAACAAAGCCTCGCGATGGACGGATTGTGCAGGACAAGACGGGAGAGGAAGGAAGGAAGGCGGGGTAATGTGGGCGGTGCTATCTCGGACATGTCTCGGGGGTCGATCTCCAGCACCATGCCCCGCCATCACTACCTTTCCTTGCCTTCCATTACCACCATTACCAACAGTGACAGCACCTCATCCAGTGACAGCATCCATTTCCGATGGAGGGGGCCGTTCATCTCGTTCGACAGGGTGGCCGAGACCAAGCGTCGGTGTCGTGGAGAGCGCGGCAACGGAACTCGGATCACTTCACCCTCTGGCTTTCCGCATCTGCCTTGCTCGATCGCAATCTGAATGTCATGAACGATTCCCGAGCTGAAGCAATGAGAGGCGCGCTCGTGGTCAATTGAATTCGCTGTCTCTCTCTCTTTCTCTCTGCGCACGCAAACGAGTGCGTGCTTTCGCCAGGCATTCGCCAATCTGTTTCCTGTCCGGGGATCAATGAAGTAATCTATAGGTCCCCTTTTAGGACTATCCTCCCCGTGCTTCCCGGAGGTCCACTTGCTATGAATGTCTTGGTTTGCATCTAACAT